CTAACTGTACCGCTAAGCACGACAAGGGGACATCTCTCATTCTTTCAATTGGGCGGTTTCAGTCCTTTCCCAGAAAGGGATGACGGAGCCATTTTCAGTGATTCAGTTGAGAAAAGGAGAAAGATCTGAGTGAAAACGTTTTAGAAAAAGCTTGCAATGAGTATCTCAAAAATAAACTTTTATTTAAGTTAAATGTACAGTTCATTAATGAAAGAAGAACATTTATCCACAGGTACACCAGGCCTGGGTGCGTTCCGACATGTACCTCTGGAGTTCTGAAGCTCCTGACCGTGACAGTTGGGTTGCACGTACGGCACCTTTTGGTATCAAGTGCCATTTTTAAAAGGGCACGATAGTTTCTCCAAAGCCAGTCATCATGTTCAAAGAATTCTTTTCTCCCTGTGTAAACAGAGAAATACCGAGGTCTCTGGAGGTAGATTCCATAATACCTAAAACCAAGCCCTGGAGTTACAGCACCATCACTCACTGACACAAGTCACAGTTCTTCCTGTCTTCTTGGGCAAGACTCTCTTTATGAAAGTCCTAACATTTAAGGTTTGCTCTCTTACAGCTTGTTTCCCCCAGTATTTTACACACAGGAATGATGTCGCATGCCTACAAATTCCTTTAGGGACTCTTTCTTTTCTGCTTTGTTAATCCTCGCCTGAGGATATTTTTTCCATTGATTTTTCGGGAGAGTGAAAGAGGGAGGGAAAGACAGGGAGAAACATCATTGTGAGAGAAAAAACCCTGGACCCTTTGATCCACAGGCCGACGCTCTATCCACTGAGTCAAACCGGCTAGGGCTCTCTTTTCTATTTTGCAATCTAGTATTCTACTTCTGCTTCACATAGATGGCAAAGGAAAAGAACTGGAACTTCTGGCCTCTTGTTGACAGGTAACCAGCAGAGTTACTCTGCGCTGACCTGACGAAGAGCGCTTGCCTTGTACGCTCAGTGCACTGCGCAGCGGAAGCCAGCCGTAAGGGCCCAGAGACACCCGAGGAAGTGCCGAAGCACCCCAAGGTCAGCAGCAACGGGGACTCAGCAAACAGACAGTGTGACATCCAACTTCCCCTTGACGCAGTCCTGCCCCTTTTCCTGAGAGGAGATGGCGGTAAGCACATAGGGGATGAAATCACATGTTATTTGTAGCCTCAGTTTTCGCATTGGAATAATACTTACCGACTCGGGGTGTTGTGAAGATCAAATAAAATACACGAGAGCATTTATGTAGTATCTTATTAAGCATATGGTAAAAAGTTTAGGGAGACTGCAAATATTTGTTTCCATGTCTCAGGCAGTAAAGTCAAAAGGCTGAGGCAGAACCATCCCAACTGTTTCTGGGGTTTAAACCCCGCATTCCTTTAAGCCTTTCTAACTACACAAAAGTAATATCACACTTGCATTTCAGACTCCCATCTCGTCGGACAGGTGTAGTGGAAAACACTTGGGAGAAGGTGTAATGCGTGTTACCCTCTATATTGATTCATTACCTATATCTCTCACTGGTAAAGGCGCTTCTCAGTTTCTAGACTATGTCACAACACATGCAAAGAGAGGCATGTCATTGAAAGTGATGTTTAGCAGTGATATCTGCCCTTCACCTACTAAATGACAGAGGCTTCGCTGAGCACTTCCTGTGCATTCTCACTTAATCCTGACCCTGTCGCAGAAGACAGTCCCATCATCTCTATTTATTTATTTATTTATTTTGAATTTTGGGACACCCTATACCTACAACCATTCCTCTCCTTCTCTCTCTCTCACTCTCTCTCTCTCTCTCTCCCCGAGGTACCACCTGCAACACTGATGCAGAAGTCAGTGCTGCCAATCTCCTCACTTTTCCCTTGAGCACAGTGAAGAAAAACATCTATGATGTGACACAGAGTCACCTGCAGAGCTGGCACCCCGACCCTCAGCCTCAGTGAGCACAGATGGAAAGAGGTTTATGGGGGATTGTCAGCCAGTGGTCCCAGTTTGTTCCTGTTTCTCTGATGAGCCAGCCTCAAAAACGTGAAACAGATTCAGGAGATAATAGAGAGATGGACCATGACTGTAATCTGTTTCTTAGTAGCTTATCTGTGGACCCCCACATTTCAGACAGGACCGCTCTGCTAACTCACATTCAGCTTTTCTTGTGTGAAAGTACACGGGCATGAGGAATGTGCAAAGAAGGTCGATGACCTTTCACATGAAGCTGAAAAGCTTCTGTGCTTGATTTGAGAGAAATGAGCCCCCGCCCCCAAAATAAGCCCTTGTTCAATCTTTATATACACTCCCCCTGTATTTGGAAATAAGAACCCTTTGCAGACTTTTACTACTTTTATGTATTCCTAAACTTCTACAATGAGATCCATGATATGCCTAAAACGGGGACATACCATTCTCAGTTTTCCCAAAGAATAAGGCTGAACACTTGATTATGTAACTGAAGGGCTCAAATTCAGTGTATATGATTTTTGTTTGTTTTGTGAGTTTCCCCACCATTACAAGGATTCTAGTTTCCTTGGATACAAAATAATAAGCTGCTTCCCTAGGTAAGAATTCTAGGAAACCACTCCATTTAGACTACCTGAAACAGGAGTACATCCCACCAGAATTTTTTGGTTGGGGGTGAAGATAGTTAAAACATTACGCTTTAAAGTCTCCCATTTCTAAGTGTGAACTGAAGAGTTAGTCCTTGAAATGTCCTATAGTTTTTCTATTTAAAGCCTGTCTTCTTCTTCTTCTTCTTTTTTTTTTTTGAGAAGATCTGACTTGGATAAAAGGAACAGAAGTGAGAGCCAAAGTGGAAGCCTTACTACTGCTGCTGCTAATACTACTACTACTTCTACTACTACTTCTACTTCTAATACTACTTCTTCTACTACTATTACTACTACTACTACTTCTTCTACTACTACTACTATTACTACTACTACTACTACGACTGTTACTACTTCTACTATTTCCTTGTGTTCCTATCAACAGAAAAAAAAGGCTTGAAAGGTATACGAAAACTTTAAAATAGCTATAAGAATGTTTTCAGGGAGCTGGTTGAACAGCTGGGATTATTTCTCACCAAATAGATAGCTTGCAAAGGCCACTTAAACATTTGCATTCAGGGACTTGACTGAATTTCTTTACCAGGGGCCACAAAATTGTTTATTCCTTTCATCAATCTTAATAGAAATTCTTAAAGTGTCTGGAGGACCCACTTTCGGTGAATTTGTGTGACAGGCTGATTTAACTCCAAGCATCCTCCTTTAGTTTTTAAAAAGATTCATATTTTACCTCTTAATTATCATCTTCTACAATAAGTTCTAGAGACACAGCAAACTGACCCCAATACATCTCACAGAGGATTCTTGATGTTCTCGTTTGGATATGGAAGCCCAAGGCTCTGGTCCCTCATCAGTGACTATTCCATGCTGAATTGACTGGGAATGTATAACTCTTCTTAGTTCAATAGAAATATCTGGTTATTTAATTTCTTCAAATGAGTTTGTTCCTCTTAAGTTAAAGTTTCTGTCCTTGGCTACTTACTGAGGAGGGCAAGATAAAAGAATGAGATGTTTTTGACTCTTTGAAGGTTGAAAAATGGAACTTAGCACCTGAAGGAACACACTAGGGACTGGAATCCAAGAGAAGATAATGGAGAATAATACTTTGTTCTTAAAAATGATGACTTTGGGCCTTATAGTTGACTAATACTATATAATACTTGTAACACTGGTATCATTAAGCTTCTTATGAGATAATTTTGTATTGCTCTAATTTTTAAAAAAAGAAATCAATGGGTTTTGTACTACAGCAGGGTCAAAGTAGCAGTCAACCAATGGTCTTCAGAGTTTAGGTATGATGTATGCTAACCTACTTTTCACTTTCATCCATTTGATCAAAAGCACAAGAGGGCATCTATTAAATGGGATGATAGAAGCAACTTCTTCATATAGAGTTATGGATATCTTGGCCTAAACCATAAGCAAGATGTCAACTGTCTTATCTATATTCCATATGCTAGTGGAATAGGAGTCAACCACCAATCCATTTTGCTACTCATCCTTGTGTTTCTGCACTGGTCATTTCATTCCCAGAGGAATAGCTGCACCTTCTGCAGTTGACTCCCCACCACGATTTGGACTTAAGAGCATCTTCCCAGGGCTTCAAGCCTTGTATCTTCCTCTCCTCGCTGGTATCCTGAGCATTTAGAGAAAGGAAGTCATGGCCAATCGGATGGAAAACTTAACTAATTCCCTGTGCTACTTCTTCTACCTAAAATCTGCATTTCATACTAAATGTTTTAGAAGTTGTCCATGGAAGGAATCCATTCTATGCCAGCTAGACTGAAAAATTAGGAGATGTTACAGATTCTTCACGAAATAACATGAGAACAGTGATTTTCAAACATTAGTTTACATCATCACCTGAAGGGCTTGTGAAAACACGTATTCCTGGACCCCACCTCCAGAGCTTCTGACCTAGCATTTTTAACAAGTTCCCAGGTAACAGAGATGCTAACCTTAACCTCACTGAGAACCGCTACTTTAGATTGTTCAAGAATGGTACTAGTTATTCTTCTTAGCTCTCTTCATGGTAGACTGGCTAGACTCATAAAGGAAGAAAGTCCTTTCCCATGCCTTAGAAGGCACTGGTTCTTGAACTATATATATAATTATAGAACATGGAAAAATGAATTTAATATGAAGAAGCCGAATTGATAGAAATCTTAGCATATGTTTCTAGATCAGGAAACAAATTAATGAGAAAAGAAAGTTTCCTCTAAGCAAGAGAAATTCAAGGTACATGCTACCTTAGCCTTTTTTTTTTTTTTTAGAAAATAAATTATTGCAGAGGAAATATTTAGTAGTATCTTGTCCTTTTTGCGTTTGGTTATTAAAAATAGTAATATTATAGACTTAATTATACAACCACAAGACCTATAGCTCATATATTTAGTTAGAACATTTGATACTATTTAGACTGTTTATAGTTTCTCCTAGAGGAATAGGCATAAACCATGGTTAAGCTGCTTAGTTTAATTTTTTTAGCACTTGGAAAAAAAATGTACAGTAGTTTGAACACTCAGTCTTTGAAAACCTCCATTGAGGTCAAAGATTTCATTCATAGGTACAAAATTAGTTTACAAATTTTTTGGCAATTTCATCTTAGTAACCCGTTTTATCCTATTGCCATTGTCCCAACCATTGAAAAAGTTTACAATAATTTACATAGAAATATTTTCAAAGTGCTTAAGAATAGTGATTGTTCTCTGGGATATTTACAGGTGGCCTATACAATGTATGTACAGGTGGTATACACTATAGCACAAGTTTCATTGCTGGAATATGGCTTTCTAGGGAAAGTGCATATTTGGCCAGAGGTGGCAATACTGTCTAGAAATTCAAGGGTTATAGGGAACCACATCCAAAGCTGAAGCAGAGTGTGGACAGGAATATTTATGAAAGTCATATAAAAACGGTCAAGTACACAAGCTTGATCCACGCAGATATCTTGATGTTCTTCCAGGCTGGAGGAAGAAAGAGACTTCAGCTGCTGGCTCGGTTACCATTCCAAATTGGGGAATTATTGGTTTGGATCTCAAAGGTTGAGACTTGTCTCAGAAGTCAAGCTAGATCATCATCTGTGCTTACAATTGATATCTGTGGAAAAGAAAAAATATGGAGTGAGCTTGATCACTCATTGGTAGCACTTCTAGTCACTAAAATGGACCTTGCTTTTGAGTTGGCCATTCAGAACTCAAAGGTACATAGAAGGGAAATCAGATCCAAAATAGTATTGAGTTGTGTCACTAATGCAGTTTAACTTGAATTTAGCTGTATCTACTTGGTAGAGAGAGGAAATAGTGTGACTAATTCTGCATCTTCTACTTAATGATCTCAAGTCCTAGAGAAAAATATGGATAGACAGACACACCTGTGCCATGAATTGGCTACCATTCTTTGTTTTACCAGAATGTTGGAGAGGGAGTGCTCAGCACTTGTTTTGTTCAGACTGGTCCCTAAACGAAGGCCAAATACTCCATTTGGGTTTCAACTAAAGAACAAGTGACTTAGTGAAAAACTAGCTAGCTATACTAGGTGGGATAGGACACTTCCAAGCATTTGGTAATTTTGGCCCAAAGAATCTGGCTCAATACACTGACTTGAAGCTAACTCTCCTATATATGATATGCTAATTTACTTATTTAACAGTTCAAAAAGAAGCTACTTGATTCATGCAAATATTTACATGTAGTTTCTATAACCAAAAATACCTCCAATAGTATAATGATGACCTGAAGTTGACTTACTTGTCATCCTGTACGGGGCAGGTGCTGATCAACTGACTGACTTATGTTCTAACAGGCTAGACTGTGTAATCTCTAGTAAATGAAGTATTTGGTGGGTCCATGATCCTACTGGCTCTTCCTAGCCCAGACAGTCATAGCTTGAGTTTGAAGTTTCATTACCAAAAAGTCTTACTGCAAGCAATGGCATAGAGGACACAAAGCTGACTTACTGCTGGGTACGTGTGTCCAACCGAAGCACTGTGTCTACCAATGTCTATAGACAGGTCCTCTTCAGTGGTCTTCAAGTACACAGGATTGTCAAAGTTCATGCTTTTCATGTTCTTGTGTTGCCAGTTCCGCCACATCAAGTAGCCACCGACTGCTGCCATTGCTAAGAGCACTGAAAAAAGTTCGAAGGCAACTAAGCAAGGTCTAGTCTCAAAACACAGAAAAAAGATCATGTTCATGAATCCATAAGCGACATTCCTAAAAGTTTCATGTTCTATGACGCTGAGATAACCAGAAGTTAGAATCTAAATGGGCAGGAGCTTGAAACCAGGTCAGACTAATGGTTAAGTGTTATTCTCTAGACTGGGCAAACGCAGTGTCCAGGGCCCCTTCCCAGGCAGAACGAATTGAAATTGCGGAAGCTTCTGGAGAGCTCTTCCAGGGGCACTCCTAGTGTGTTCACTGAGCTTGCAATCCAGTAATTTAGGATAAAGAGGCCATTATAGCATAGTGCCTTAGCATTCACATACTCAATAGTAGCTTTAAAGGTCCATATCCCTGGTTTTGAAAATTCTTAACTTTTTAATTTACTCCCTATACGTCCTATAATTCTTCAAGAAAGCATTTGAGCATTGTATCTCCTCTGTGTGAAATACTATATATATTTCAAAGAGAATTAGAACAGTTTTCTTTACTTAAAGGGACTTACTGTGAAAGGGGGTACATCAGACTAATCACTCTGAAGTGGAAAGCTATAAGCACCCTTCATGTAATAGCTGAACATTTATCACTGCCAGTCACTGTGGGAAGGATACCACTGAAGAGAAAGGCATGGGCTCTCAACTCAGTGTGCCATGTTGGGGAGGGAGTAAAATGTAATTCAGTATCATGAGAGCTATGAAAGTACAAGGGGCCATGGGAAGTATGTCTCTAGATGAACTATAAATGCCCATCTGGTATCTAAGAAGTTCATGGGCTCCACATATATGAAGAATCGACTTACAGAGGGGAAGGATGGCCCACGCAGCGGAAGTCCCTTTTGGGGGAACACTGACCTCCGATACTGCTGTGGTCACGTTGATCCCTATAGGCGGATAAAAAGAACCAGTTTAGAAGAATCTGAACTCAGACTTGGAAATGCACCCATCTCGTGGAGAGCCTCATACCCTTGCATCCATCACGATGCTCAGTATCTATGATTGTATAGCAGCAACAACTGATCTAGAAGTATTTGAGAGTCACATGCTGTTATAGCCATTTCATTAACATTTCTCTAACACAAACCTTAATAAGTCAGGTCAGACTAAGACTCGAAGCTTCTTAGTCTTTGCAGTTTAAAAGTAGGTTACCAATCGGGGCAGAGCTAGTAGTTAAAGGCTGTATTAATTAAGTAATAGATACAAAGTGTGGCTGTTAGTTGAGATTAACAGTTTGCAATACTGAACCCAATACCTCCAGGAACTAGTCCACTAGTTGGTGAAATTTCTGTTGTGTTGGTATCTTTTGTCTCACTGTAAGTCATAGTAGTTGCAGTACCTGAATTATAAAAACCAAGAACCTGGTTAATGCCAAGGTTCCAGAGTGGCTAGTTGTTTAGTCCAGATGAGCCCTGGCTAGGTTATTTTAATACCACGGGAAACAGACAAACCACTGCTGAACTAAGTTGCATGGTGGATGTATCAAAACTGGGAGAAACAGCAGTCTTCGGACAAAACCAGACACATGAGACTTTAGGCAGAAGAGCAAGCATTTGAAATTTGACAATTTAAAAAGACACACAGCCATACTTCATGACCCCTCTAATCAATGTCCAGGCTCCTGAAAGTTACAAAAAAAGCCTGTGAGCAGCAGTGGTTCAGTGGTTGAACCAGGAGGTCACTGTTCGATTCCCAGTCAGGGCACATGCCTGGGTTGTGGGTTTGATACCTCAGTAGGGGGGCTTGCAGGAGGCAGCCAATCAATGATTCTCTCTCATCATTGATATTTCTCTCTCCCTCTCCCTTCCTCTCTGAAATCAATAAAAATATTTTTTTAAAAAAGAAATGCTCTTGAAAACAGATGACCAGGCATACTAGTCTTACCCCAGACTGTCTTGCAACTACTTTCTCAGTAAACGGAGCTAGTCCCTGCAGGGACTCGGGATTAAACTAATAGAAACCTCACAATATGAGCTCCTTGCTTACAACATGTGAGTTGAATTTGCCGCTTAACCAAAAGCTGAGAACAGAAGGCTAAAAATGTAAGTTTAAGTGTGAGTTTAAGATAGTGTCACGCACTGGGGCTATGAGGTTTCCTGTGACTATAACCTTCTTTGTGCATAATTTCAGGCCTCTCTCTTCAGAGGAAATGTTAAGGCTTTGTTCTATTATCTACATGTTGCCTAGCTCAGTGTTGTTATGGGACTAGTCAGTAAGAGGCCTGTTAATACTTTGACAAAAGTGTCACTTATAGACTCATCTGATGTTGAAATGAGTTAAAAGTCAACTCTGAAGTAAAGCCATGAATACCTGGTAGGCACTAGTACCAGGCATGTTCTCAAAGCTATTCCTAGAGTTAGTTAAAACAGAATTCTTAAAATCCAGGCTAGTTTTCATAGCTAGTGTCTTGTTCTATAGCCTGTTGTATGTCTGGCTAGTGGATGAAAAGTAAAGAGTCTTACTTTGGCACTCCCGGCCATTTGCCCGTAGGTTGAACCCATTGGGACAGGAACACGTGTATTTTGGGGAGTGATCATTAATCTGTGGTGCTGGCAGACATAGGTATTCACATCCTCCATTCTCCATGTCTTCTTCACACCAATTTTTACCTGTTCAGACACAAAAATCCTTTAAAAGAAGTACGCCAGGGCTGTTATATACACAAAGTCCTGTTCTAGGTGCTGAAGACATGAATCCTTGGCCCCAAGGAGTTTAAACTTGTCTACTCAGCCTAACCTTCCAGTTTAACCAATACCAGTGAAGACTAAATATAAGAGTACAGACAGCATGCTCTAAGGACACCAGAGATCCAAAGAAACTTCTTGGAAGTAGAACAAGAGTTATGCCTTAAACAGATGGATGGTGAGGGAGTAGGTGGAGAATGGAGGTGAGTGACCAGGAGTGGCACTAATTACTGGTCCAAAGCTCATAGTGAAGGCTCCGAGGAAGGAGATAAGCATGTTCTCCTAGCTTTATCATGCCTTGTTCCCACAAAGTGGAAGGCACCCAACTATATGGACGTTTAAGAGTTTTATTCATTCATTTTTATGCATATAACACCCCTCCACACATACACACACAACATACACACACAGTTCACCTAATCAGCCTTCCTCTCTCAAGCTCCTGGTAACCACTAATCTGTTTACTATTTGTACTAGAGGCCTGGTGCATGAAATTAGTGCACTGGGGGGGGGGGCAGTCCCTCAGTCTGGCCTATGACCTCTTGCAGTCCGGGAGCCCTCGGGGGATGTCCGACTGCCGCAGAGGCAGGAGAGGCTCCCACCACCACTGCTTCGCTCGCCAGCCATGAGCCTGGCTTCTGGCTGAGTGGTGTGCCCCCTGTAGGAGCACACTGACCACCAGGGGGCAGATCCTGCATTGAGCATCTGCCCCCTGGTGGTCAGTGCGCATCATAGCGACCGGTCGTTTGGCTATTCGGTCGATTTGCATATTAGCCTTTTATTATATTATATAGGATAGTTTCCCCTTCTTCAAGTTGTCATATAAATGTAGTTACACAGTATCTGTTCTTTTCAAACTCTCTTCTTTCATTTATCAATATTAAGAGTTATGAAGTGTACCTCATTATAGCTTAGTCATTGTATTTCCCTAATGACTAAGGATTTTGAACATCTTTTCATGTACTTATTGGACATGTAGAGCTTCTTTGGAGAAATGCCTATTCAAATAATTTATCCATTTTTAATATTTTATATTATTTTCCCCTTTTACCCTCATTTACCCCCTTCTCTGCACTATTGTCTGTCCATGGATTATGCATATATGCATATAAGTTTTTTGATTAATCTACCCCCCTCCCTAACCTCCTCTTTCCTGCTGAGATTTGTCAGTCTGTTCCATGCTTTTATGTCTCTGGATCTGTTTTATTCATCATTTTATTTTGTGCATTAGATTCCATATTTAAGAGAGATCATGTGATACTTGTCTTTTTCTGACTTCCTTATTTTGCCTAGCATAATACTCTCCAGGTCCCTCCATGCTACCTCGGATATTTGCTTTTTTATTTTTGAGTTGTAAGAGTCCTTTATGTATTCTGGGTAATAGATTCTTATTGGCTTTATGGTTTGCAAATATTTTCTCCCATTCTGGGGTTGCCTTTTCACTTTTTTGATAGTATACTTGGAATCACAAAATTTTTAAAAATTCTGATGAAGTTCTATTTATCTATTTCTTCTGTCACTTGTGCTTTTGGTACCATATATTAGAAACATTAACTCAAGGACATGAAGATTTACTCCTATGTTCTCTCTCTTTTTTTAAATGAATGTGCATTAGGGTCACTTGAGAAACTGGGAGCATTTTATTCTATGGATTCTAAAGCTCAGTCTTTTTCAACCTTATATCTCCAGGGCCTAGAACTGTACCTGTCACCTAATAGATTTTTAAAAAATTATTCCCATTTCATAGCCCCTCCCCTTTGGCAACGAAGCTTGTTCTCTTCTGTATCTCTGGGTCTGTTTCTGTTTATTCATTTATTTTGTTTTTTAGATTCCACATATGTATAAGTGAAATAATATGGTATTTGTCTTTCTTTGTCTGACTTACTTCATTTAGCATAATACCCTCTAGGTCCATCCATATTGTTGCAAACAGCAAAATTTCATTCTTATTTATTACTCAATAATATTCCATTGATGTCCATTCATTGATGGACATCTAGGTTGCTCCCATATTTTGGCTATTACTAGTAATGCTGCAATGAACATAGGGGTGCATATATCTTTTTGAATTAGAATTTTTGTTTTCTTCAGGTAAATACTCAGAAGTGGAATTCTGGATCATATGAAAGTTCTATTTTTAATTTTTTTGAGGAATCTCCATATTGTTTTCCATATGGCTGTACTAATTTACAATCCCACCAACAGTGCATGAGGGTTCCCTTTTGAGTACATCGTCACCAGCACTTGTTGTTTGTTGATTTATTGACGATAGCCATCTGACAGGTGTGAGGTGATAACTCATTGTGATTTTTATTTGCATTTCCCTGATGATTAGTGACATTGAGCATCTTTTCATATGTCTGTTTGCCATTTGTATGTTGTCTTGGGAGAAATATCAATTCAGGCAGGTCCTCTGCCCATTTTGTTGTTGTTGTTGTTGTTGTTTTAATCCTCGCCCAAGATATTTTCCCATTGATTTTTAGGGAGAATTGAAGAGAGAGGGAGAGACAGAGAGAAACATCAATGTGAGAGAAACACATCAATTGGTTGCCTCCTGCATGTGCCCCAGCCAGGGCCTGGGCCGGGGAGGAGCCTGCAACCAACGTACATGCCCTTGACTGGAATCGAACCCGGGATCCTTTGGTCCACAGGCCTACGCTCTATCCACTGAGCCAAACTGGCCAGGGCCCTCTGCCCATTTTTCAGTTGGGTTGTTGTGTGTTTTTTGGTGCTACATTGTATGAGTTCTTTATATATACTGGATATTAACCCCTTATTAGATGTATCATTTGCAAATGTTTTCTTCTATTCAGTAGGTTGTCTTTTCATTTTGTTGGTAGTTTCCTTTGCTGCACAAAAACTCTTTAGGTTGATATTAAAAGTTCCATTTAGATAGAACCAATCAAGCCTTTTAAGGAGACAATATGACCAGATGTGTCTGAGCATCTACACAATCCTATACAAGATGCGTCATGGGGGTGGAGGAAGGGCAAGTTTGTGGCTACTTTGGAGGTTAGTGCCATAGTCTTAGCAAGAGGGGATGTAGGCCGAGGGGATGTGGAAAAGACTGAAATAAAAGACTGAACATGGAAGGTTGGGAGGGAATAGGAGAGCTCAAGTCCTGAAGCTCTTTTACTAGGAAGCCAGAAATAAAATATCCCAAACTCCAGGTTTGAAGTGTTTGGTATAGAAGGGAAAAGCTCCATTTTAGAGCAAGTTGAATTGCTAACAAGCTACTGATACCCAGCAGGTACTGTGTCATGCTCCTGCCCTTAAAGTGGCCATGAAGGGTCCTGCTTCCCCGGTTACCTGATGGCTGGACGAGTTCATGATAGACAATGATGTCTTGGGCATCATTAAGGTTGTTAACTAGAGTGGCCAGCTCTGACCCAGTGAATTTATTGGCACCATAGACGGCTTCATTTTCCCCGTCTATCCAGTAGACACGATCCTAAAACAGAACCCCCAAATTAGCACGTATATGTAGGATTAACACAAATCACTGTCTAACTAAGGTCATTATTATTTACTGGCAAATTAATGGACCAAGTTTATTTAAGGCTGGTCTGGGATACTGGATGTGAAACTGTAAGAGAGCAAGTTCAGGTTTCTTAAAGTGCTACAAAGAATCAAAGATTATCTAACTTGCCCCAGGTTTTAAGTGACAGCAGCTTTTCAACTCATGCCCTCGGCTCTCCCCTCCTCCCCCCATGCCTGTTCCTTCTCCCCAAGGTGCTATAGTAACTCAAAGGTATACACTTGGACGTGAGGCAGGTGTCTTACCTCAAATATCGTTAGTGCGAGAGGATGGGCGAGGAACTCCAGAGACTTGAGCACTATCCTCCGATCTTGGCCGTTCAAGTCCACACTGGATAACATGTGCAACTTGGAATCAAGCCAATAGAGACGGTTCTTTATGAGGTCTAGGCAGGAAAAGAATTGCGTTGCATGGTAAGTCAGTATGGCTCTGGCTTCCATTTAAAATCTCTAAGGAATCCGATATTTGACTTTTATGATTCCTGCTCCAGCAGGGATTCTTTTTTTTTTTTTAAATATATTTTATTGATTTTTTTTACAGAGAGGAAGGGAGAGAGATAGAGAGTTAGAAACATCGATGAGAGAGAAACATCGATCAGCTGCCTCCTGCACGCCCCCTACTGGGGATGTGCCCACAACCAAGGTATATGCCCTTGACCAGAATCGAACCTGGGACCCTTCAGTCCGCAGGCTGACGCTCTATCCACTGAGCCAAACCGGTTAAGGCTCCAGCAGGGATTCTTAATGGGATCCCGCAAATCTTGTGAAATGGCATGCCATTTCGGGAAACTCAAGGGGTACCTACGGTTCTTAAAGTAACTGACTTAAGAAATGTTACTCACATGATAGAAGTTTTAAAAGAGGCTAGCATTTTGTGGTTCTCTCCTTCTGAGCCAGAAAAACTGTTATAAGCTGGCAATTCAGAAAATGCTAAGGCACCTGGGCCAGGAGTATTTAGGGTGAGAGTTCCTGAGACCCACCATTCACTGAATTTGTGTCAGATATTAGGCCCCCATGGACTAGCTAGTAATTATGCAGTATGTAATTTAAATTCCCCATTCCATTGGTATTGCTCAGTTATTTCCATCCAAAGCCACTGCTCTAGCGCTGTCTGCTGTAGTCTAGAGTTAACAATGGAGATCAGTTAAAGCCAGGTGAAGGCTGTTGAATTGGTGGTCAACATAGGAAGAACATACGTACCAAGTGTAATTCCGTTAGGCCATTGGATATCCACTGCCACCAGCGGCCGTCTATCAAATCCATTCATTCCTGCTTTTTCTATTTTAGCTGGCTCACCCCAGTCTGACCAGTAAACAAATCTGGGAAGAATTAAGTTAGAAATAAGCCTCAGTGGTTTTAGAACGAATAAAGTTGTAGCTTAGGACAAACGTTCAAAGAGTGAACAGAAAAATTCTAGGGATTGATTACGACAAATAGTAACACTTCAGACTATAACTTATGTTCTGCGTAAACAAAACACTAAGAACCTACAAGCTCATTCACTATATTAATGTATTTGAGTCAGCCAAAAGTCACATATTATATGTTCCGTTTTTATTTCTATTTTTTATTTTTTGTTAATCCTCACCTGAGGAGGATATTTTTTCCCATTGATTTTTAGAGAGACTGGAAGGGACAGGGAGAGACAGAGAAAACCATCATTGTGAGAGAGACACATACATTGGAATCGAACCCGGGACTCTTCAGTCCGAGGGCCAATGCCCTCACAACTGAGCCAAACCGGAAGAGCTATGTTCCATTTTTAAAAGGCTGATTCTTTCTGAGGAGTGAAGAAGAGTAACTGTTAAGTTTTATAGCAGGGGTAGCTGATCGTGTGCTGGTGAGGTTACAGGGCCCATTTCTGATGACTGCAGGCTTAGCTTCCTTAGCTGTTCTGTTTGTTATTTAGTGGCAATTTAGGAAACCTCTCCGTGAAATGTTTCTAGCGAGGTCTGTCAGTTTCAACTGGACTTTTGGATAAGCCTTGAGGTAATGTAGTTACCCAAATCCTCACAACTCATGCTAAGACTTAGGTTTGATCATCCAGAGCTAACCTGACAAAGCATTCCGACAAAAATGAAAAGTCCCTTGTGTAGAAGCTGGGTGGGTACGAGGGTTCAGATCCACCCTCTGTTGCACATCAAATCAGAAGCGCTGTTTCCTTAACTTCCACCAGCAGTTAGGCTGCCCTGGGAGGGCCTGGCACACAGGTGAGACCATGACATGTTGAGCCAGACAATTCTTTCTCGTGGGCAGCTGATAGGTCTTGATATTTCAGTTCTACTTCAGGCATGAGGAGGGCTCCTGGCCTATGCAGACGGCACCCAAAAGGCTACAGGATGCAGAACACAGAATACACACCCGGACAGGGGGTCCACAGCTATGGAGGCCGGCTCTCGCAGGTCCGAGTTAAACAGGAGCTTCCTTTTGGTTCCGTCCAGGGTAGCCACTGAAATAGTCTTAGAAGCCGCGTCAGTCCAGTAGAGGGTCTTGTACACCCAATCAACAGCAATGGCTGCAGGATTATAGACATTGTCGATCATTTTAACATGTCTACCAACCTTGTCATCCAGGGAGGCGCTGAAACAGAGTAGGTCACAAGAAATTTCAGAGGTTGACGCCATCGGAGCCTGGAGAACAGACTTTCTGCTTACAAAACGGTCCACAGCCTTGTTCGGAGAGAACTCTAGTAACACGGCTCACCGCTCCAATGACTGAACCGGGCTGCTCACTGGCACTGCATTAACAGTAGGCTAACTAGTTGCCGTATGTGTTCCATATGCCAGATCCACACGCTTCTAAGTGGAGCTATTTGTTTCAGTAGCCACTATCTGAGTTCCTCTAGTTCCCATTAAGGAGAAGCTGCACTACCATTTCTATTTGTAGCCACCATAAACGGTTCTCAATTAACAGTAAAGGGGAGAAAATAGGAGACATTAAGATGTCAGCTGTGATCATCTTTTAGCTGTAGACACTTTTTATTTCATAGGTGACTGTTCATTTCTAACGAGGAACTGATAGTCATGGAAAAGTTAAAGAATGGGTGTTTAGATTTACTGTCTCCAGCTAACTAGATGCTAGATTGAGACAAGAGAAATTCCTTCAAACCTTCCCAAAGGCCAAGCGATTTAGACCAAGACACCAAAATGGAACTGAAAGTTACCTGAAGATGGCCTTTTGGCTCAGATCAGCCCAGAATAGTTTCTGGGCAGCAATGTCAGCATCGAGAGCCACAGTGTTTCTTAGCTGCTCCACTAGTTGGATATATTCTTTCCTCTCTAAGCCAATCTTCCTGATGTCTCTGCGATTAGTGAAGATTAGACTTGGCTCTTTCCCTGCAAGACAGGAGTCCAGTGTATTTAGTTTTGCTGCAAGAAGGTAAGGTCCTTCTCAGTTACCTCCTCCCAAGAGAGCAGCACTTAAAAAGTGAAGCCACCGCCCCGGCCAGTGTGGTCAGTGGTTACAGCATCAGCCATGCTCCTAAGGGTCTCAGGTCTGGTTCCTGGTTAAGGGCACATACCTGGGTTACAGGTTCCATCCCCGCCCCATTTTGGGTGTGTGGAGGAGGCAACCAATTGATATGTCTCTCTCACATTGATGTTTCTCTCGCCCTCCCTCTCTCCTCCCCCTCTCCCTTATACTCTCTCTAAGAAATCAATGGCAAAAATATCCTTGGGTGAGGATTGCTGAACACCTCAGGAATACTCGTGCCAGAGGCCGTGCCCCAGAGACCTGCAAGTGCTTCCCACTACTTACGAAGGCAGTTCTGAGGTCTCAGCATTCAATAACAGGGCTGCTGGCGAATAAGTTATTTATTTGAATTGCACTCAAGTATTGGAAGCAGAAAGTAAGCAAAGCTGGCAGGTATTCATGGTATCATGTGCAAAAGGAATAGACCAAGGCAGGAATCTGGGGAAATGATCTCTGTTTAACCTATGATAGAGAATGCGCTGTGATCTTAGTAGCATTGCTCTCAAGTACTATTTTAGTTTCATCTTCAATTTGGCTATTGTCATCACAGGCTGTACCTTTCCTAAGCACTTACTCGTAAAGATACCAGAGCAACACCAGTCCCAGTCCATTTACCTACAGCCTTGCACACGCCAGTGGCAAGATCCATTTGATAGCCACGACTACATTCACACTTGTAACCGCCTTTTAAGTTGATACAAATTTGACTGCAGATTCCCGGATTTTGGCATTCGTCAATATCTAGGAGGGAAGTTAGAATTAGTCTTGCTGTTCCTGGATAACCTACAGAAATACACTGTCTCCCGCCCCCCCTCCCCCGCCCCCCAGGCTGAGGGTCTCTTCTTTGACTCACCTCCACAGGTTTTCCTATCGATCAGCTCAAAACCAGCTGCACAGTCACATTCGTAGCCTATAACCAAGTCTCTGCAGATATGGGAACATCCACCATTGTTAACCAAGCATTCATTTACATCTGAAATAAAAATGTCCTCGAGTTACTTGACAACTTATTCCAAATTGATATTTGTCCTAGTAACATTAAAAATCCAGGCGCTCTGCAATAACTTATCTACTTAGTCTGCTCAAATCTATGATTTTTCCAAGCTCTAATAATTTTTCTTATAAATATGCATCTTAGAGTGTACTGGGGGAATAATAGAGCCCATCTCCCTGGCCAGTTGGTTAAGCAGGATTTGATCAAGTTTCTCTATTACTGGTTAGTTATCTTTAAGGAGGTAAATTATGAACTAGTTTGTCACTGCATGGGCTCTTGAGTCATAAAAATTCACTCTTAAGTCCAACAATTGAACTTAGTTCATGAAAAGTAATTTAGCCAGACATTATGCATTAGCCATGCTAGATTGAACGAGCCATCCCAGCTCTGTCCCCAAGCAACCCCTTCACTTACGACATTCTTTCAGGGGCTCGTCACTCCAGTCCCTGCAGTCCTGCTCCTGGTTACATACTTTAATGATGTCTATGCATTCCCCGCTTCTGCACTTGAACTTTCCGGGACCCAAGCACTGATTGACTGCAAAGAGAAACACAGAAGAGAGACTCCATGAGTGGGTCCGATCAGGGTAGTCCCTTGACAAACCCACACGAAGAGGCCCTTACCATTTTTGCAGTTGACTTCATCAGAACCGTCCACACAGTCCCGGATGCCATTACACTGCCTGCTGCCATGGATGCAGCTACCATCCTCACATTCAAACTGGTCTGGTCGGCAGGTTCGAGAAGCTACAAAGGGAGGAAACACCATGGGATGAAGCCAGCCAAGTTGTCCCCAGTGGGTCCGTGGAAGAGAACCGAACACGCCACACTGATGAGAATGCTACGTACGACAGTTGACCTCATCGCTGCCATCCCTGCAGTCCGGATCTCCGTCACATCGCCACTTCTTGTGGATGCACTCGCCAGAGCCACACTGGATCTCGCTGGCTGGGCACTTGGTGTGCATCACTGGCTGGCGGCCACACTGCTCCAGGGACTCATCAGACTGGTCCGAGCAGTCGGCATCATCGTCACACACCCAGCTGAGGGGGATGCAGGAGGAGGCGCTGCACTGGAACTCGTGGGCACCACAGGATGGCGGGGCACAGTTGAGCTCATCACTGCCATCGTTACAGTCATCCTGGCCGTTGCACACAAAATTCCTGGAGATGCAGCGGCCGCTGGAGCAAGTGAAATCATCAGAGCTGCATGTTATGTTGCCTATTAAGAGAGAGGAGGCCCCATTGAAAGTGCATCAGGACTGGTCCTTTTAGGACTTTTGTCTGGAAATCTAACCTGCAGCTCTTTGGTCATGAATCCTAGCTTTCTAGCTTAACTTAAAAGCTAAAGTGTAATTATATCAATATCCAAGTTCCTGGAATACCAGGAACAGTCTCACCACATAAAAGATGCAGGGACACTTGAATAAGAACAGAAATAAAGGACCAAGAAAAGAGTTGAAGACCAGAAATTAATTTGAGATGAGAGCCACAGTGAACTCTTACAGGAAGTGATCAATAACTTAAACAAGGAATTCCTTTCTGGAAGGCAGAGACGGAGTTATCTTTAGATGGACATAGTGCTTATCAGGCCAGACCACATTATTAGCTGAGACGATCATGCATCAGGTATTCAGGCAGATGTACACTCATCGTAAGCACTATCACACGATCACCCAAAAGGAGCCATTATGTTATACCATCATGCATGGCTCCTTCTCTTTACATCCTTCAAATGAGGATCAGGATTAACAGGTTGTAAATACTTAAAAGTTTTAGCAAGTCAGTTCCAGGGCTAGCAAGACAGTCTAGCAGCCAGGTATGCTAATAATGATAAGCTAGTCAGAATCAAAGATAAGCCAGTTTGTACTTTGATTCAGATTCGGGCCAAATGGATTAAGTCACAATTTGGTGGTAATTATGGTAGAGACCACGACTCTCTTGGGAAGCAAATCTAGATTTAAGAGGGAAACACTGGGCAGCTCCAGGGCTTACTAACACATAAAGCTCAATTCTAGGATTAAACACCAAAACTCATTGGACTAGGTGCAGTGGTATTGACCTCCAAAGCTAATTTCTACACAGAGGATGTGTTTCAGCTGCAAGCGTCCTCAGCTCACTGGCACACTACTGCACTAGGAGGCCCGTGCTCCTGGGCAGCTGTAGTTACAGAGGCCCTATAAAAAGGGCGGTAGCTTGAAAGAGCGTTCAAAACAATGTTTGTTCAACCTTTTCCCAGGGCCTCACCTTTAAGGTGTAGCATTTATTACACACTTTCCAAGAACAGAAGCATGAAAGGGAAGGAAACAGAGTTGGCTTTTACAGGTAGGAACTGACAGAAGACAAGATTACCACCAGTTGGGTAGTTTTTCTTTGGGTCTCTGCTAACGATGTTCACGAACACGTCTGTGCCAGTTTAACTTCTGGAAGGGTTAAAATAGAATCTGGTGTTGGAGCTAAGAAATGCTGGTATGATACTTAAGTAATTTATTTCGATAAGGAGATCCAATTTAGACGTAGGAATGTGTTTGCTGGCCCTATTCCCCTCCTGGGATGGCGCCAAAGTGAGGAAGGCCCATGAATTACTGTCCTCGCAGAGACAAAAGCCCACCCACTTGGTGCTTGACTGGGCTACTTCTAAATGTAAGTGCCTTGAATGACTTACCTTTTTATTTCTATTTGTCTAGAAGAAACACCAAAGCAAGCCATGTGAACTTCTTTCCGACTTTTTGGGGCAGTTAGGAAGGGCAAGTAGCTGAGCAGATAGTAAAGTCACTGAAAAGCGAGTCAATGTAACTGCCTCTTCATGCTTAAGTTAGCTTCCCCTGCCCACCCTTCTTTGAGCAAAAGGGTCCTTGAGATAAGCCACTCAACACTGATCTTCTTACCACAGTTTTCTTCATCTTCTCCACTGTCACAATCATTTTCACCATCACACCTCCAGGACTCTGGGATACACTGAGTAGAATGGGCGCCACAGCTGATTTCATTTGTGCGGCATGTTCTCATATCTGTTGATGATATACAGTCTCAAAAGAGCCTCCAGACTCATCAGTGCAAAGTCGCTGCTCCTGTGCTGCTTGGAAGTGGTACACCTATTGACTCAGTGGCCTGGCATGCTGGTGAAATTGGACTTAACTAGTTGAAGCCTGGGTACATCCTTTGCCAGCTCCGTTGCTTAGAAGCCATGCTAACCTATGCTACCTGGCAGTACACCTGAGAGCCTTGACCGTGTTACTCCTTCGAGGTTCCGTGGAGTGCCCAGTTCTGGCTTTTGTTTTACTTGGCCTAGTTAGGTTTACTGGCTGGCCTGCTCCTGGACCATTGTTTATCTGTTGGCTATCAAGTGGTACACACACATGTCTAATCCCAATTTCATTAAAGGCCAGATGGTTTAAGACCCATGAAGTCTTCCTTCTAGGTTCCTTTACAGGCCTCCTTCACAATCTCCTTTAGATTTATATTTTGCAAAGTAGTGACATCCCATACGTTTTGACTTCACTGGGTCATCCTCTACTAAAATGTGGGGTTGAATCTTTATGGAACCAGTCTTTACAGGTACTAGCTTACATGCCTTAACCAAGATTCTTATTACTCCCCTCGCTTCCTGCCTAGAAAATTGATATCACACATTTAGTTTCCTTTCTGCTTGATTTGCTTTTGTAACCATTTTCCCAACTAAAACTTTGTTCATTGTTCCTCCACATTTGGTGCTTCAGTAGGTCTCTATTGCCTGAAAATGAACTCCTAGACTTTCTTCATCTTGACATTCAAATAATTGCAAATCCTCCTCCTCTATCACCTCATAGGCTTTTTCCGAATATCAGCCTAAGAACTCAGATATACATTTGCTTAACTATGAAATTTCTCTTATTTAAGAACAAGCTGTAAGTTCCCTACTTTAATAACTTTAGATTACATGTTTGTTCAAAATAATGATATCACCCTACTTCTAGCCATTCTACCTCTTCAGTAACAGATTTTTTTTCCATAAAAGGAGAAGCTATGTATCTAAAAGCTTATATTTGGCCTACAGGGGAGCCTTACATCTTGACTTAGCTTCCAGGACCAGAGTACCATCTGCTCATATTCATCATTATCAAACATTTGAAATCTGTGCACCTAGTCAAGGAGTTCTTAATGAAGTCTGCTGGCTTCAGTCTTAAATGTTCAATAGTGAAGCTACCCAAGAGAACGTCAGTCTTGTTAAACTAAGGAGAACATTCTTTAGAGGCTACTGATCAACTGTTCACGACTTGACTGACTTTGGAGTCAATTGGCCTACACTTCAAGGGAGTCAAAGGAAATTAACACCAAGTATTGGATGAAACAATACTTAGAGATATGAGACACAGAACGGCTTAGAAAAGTTCAAGTCTAAAGCAAGGCACACTCACGGCACTGTTCTGGGCTGTCGTCAGAGCCGTCTTCACAGTCGGGGTCCCCGTCGCACTGCCATCGGCTGGGGATACACTGGCCATTGTTGCACACAAAGTCAGACTCAGCACATGTCTTCTTCTCTACAAGAGTTTATTTGCAGGGTTAAAGTTGAAGTCCCTTACCCAAGAGCCCTATAATCCCATGGGGGTAAAACTACATTTTGATGTATTTCACTTGTAAAATAAAGCTGAGTCAGTTAGCACCCAACTGCCAATATCCAGGAGAACTATAGAAAAACCCCCACCCTCCCCAGAGGCCAAAGGCGCTCACTTAAGAAACTTGGAGGATAGTGAGGTCAAGATAAGACAAAGGTTTCCAATTACAGTGGGGCCTTGACTTAAGAGTGTCCCGACTAACAAGTTTTTTGAGATACCAGCTATCTCTCAGCCGGCCCACCGATTTTTTGCATTGAGTTGACAGAGTAATTTGAGTTAACGAGCTCCTTAACGAGCTTGGTCTCAGAACGAATTAAACTCGTAAGTCAAGGCCCCACTGTATATTACAACCCAGGGATTCCTTACAACTCTTGTCTGTTTTATAATGTTGAGATTAAGTAATAGTTTCATGCTCTTCATGCATTTCTTCCAACTCTTTCAAGTCCTTTGTAAATTGAATAGCCAAACATTCCATCCTATGACTGGATCATAGTATAATTGCTCTAGGGACATACCTTAACAACACATGGTATAGAGATAGATGAAGCCCCAGTACTGAATATTGTCACCCCTACAGGTCTATTGGGGAGAGGAATCCACTCAGTAAGAAATAAACAGAGCTTGAATCCAAAAACAGGAGAGGTGCCAGAATCCAGCTTGAAGTGATTGAAGTTGCCAATACCCATATCTGATGGCCAGGGTTAAAATAGCCTGCAAGGTATCCATTTTGCTATTAATTCTTACTAGGGCAGGTCTTTTCTCCTGTAATTAGGGTGACCATGCAATTTATTGTCCAAGTTGGAACAATCTCAGTAGAAAGGGGACACTGTTCGTTGTACCAAGAAGATAAGCATAAACCAAGACTATCCTAAGTAAACCAGGCAGCTTGGTCACCCTATCCACGAGGAAGTCAGAGGGTAAGAAGAGTCTTAAAAAGTAGCCACATAGGATATTCTAGGCTCGTCCTTCTCAGACTATATTCTTCCTTACCCATGTGTCTATACCTTCCATTGGAATTTCTAGTTTAAAACATTCTTCTCTAACAAATATTATGTAATGGTAAGTAAGTCAACTAAAAGCTGACGATTTGCTGAAAATTTGAAAGGAACCGCTTCAAGACAGGGGTTTAAACTAGGTACAACACTCAGAGTTTAGAGTATCCTAAATGAGAGGGCCACTCTGGTTTACCCTCTGAAGGAGGGGGAGACAGTGATTAGAGTCAATTTCTAGAACTCAAGATGAGGAATTATGATGATTTGAAAAGGGTTATTTATCTCCTTGAATTGTGTAGCCAAGGAAACAAGAAAGGCCACATTAGCTCTTAGATTCACACCTATTTCTAAAATCACTGAAAATATCAAACCCCCAGTGTTAATGTTTAAGTGATATCCTAGGCCTATGTTCTCCTGAGCATGTAGTGGGGTTGGGGTGGATGGGAGTTGGGGAGTTTACAAAGCCAGTTGCTGTAATTCAACCTGTGATATTCCTTAGAAGTTGTAAAAGAGGGAGTAGGAGATGGCTCGTTGTAAAGAAACCACATGTCTTTAAGAAGCAGAAAATATTACAGGAATAGGAAAGACTGGCTGTATTACATAGTGTTTGAGAAAAAGATAAATAGCGACGGACAGATTGCTAGAGTTAATCTCTCTCCATTCTGAGCATAGACTGGGAGGGTAAGGAGGCTACTTGAACTGAGCCTTGAGATGGATAGAAAGTTCGATGTGCCACAGGGCAAGAGAGCTACTCGTTACATCCTTAGGGTATCTGAGTCACAGATTAATCAGCTCAGCCTAACACACAAGAATGAGTTACTGGGACCAACAGGAACACATGGCTTGTGGAATTCAAGCTGAAGTTGACTAAATATGCTAGTTGACATACTTGAAAGAAAGAGCTCCGCTGAAACTGTAACCAAGTTCAATATCAAGAGGTTGGACCAGAAAAATAGAAAGTGGCTTTGTAAGTTTCCAGTAATTGTGTAGCTTTTCCCTTTGGAACATCTCAAAATAAGCATATTCAGGGATCCCCTGAGCACTTTCCTTTCCCGCTTTCCTTTTCTACTTTCATACCTGGGAGGTGGAGACAAATTCTAGTGAAGAGATATTTAATTGTTTCCATCTTGTGTGATCTTGATACACATCCTTCTCTTTACCTCTTCCAAACCCTCCTGCCATGCGGCTAGAAGTTATTTATGCAAAGACTGTTTTAGGAAAAGCCAGCGATGACCCTAAGACGACCCAGGTCAGTTCCCACTAGGAATTGACTCTAATCACTGTTTCCCCCTTTACAATATCAGAGGCTAAACCAGAGTGGCCCTCTCCTTTAGGACATTCTAAACCAGTGGTTCTCAGCCTTCTGGCCCTTTAAATACAGTTCCTCATGTTGTGACCCAACCATAAAATTATTTTCGTTGCTACTTCATAACTGTAATGTTGCTACTGTTATGAATCGTAACGTAAATATCTGATATGCAGGATGGTCTTAGGCGACCCCTGTGAAAGGGTCGTTCGACCGCCAAAGGGGTCTCGACCCACAGGTTGAGAACTGCTGTTCTAAACTCTGAGAGTGGGACCAAGTTTAAACCCCTGACTTGAAGCGGTGCCTTTCAAATTTTCAGCAAATTGTCAGCTTTTACTTGACTTCCCATTACAGAATTGGTCAGATGGTAAAAGACTTCCCACCCATGAAGAGAATAATTACTTTCTAAGAAAAAACAGTGGGTTTTGCCAAACATGTAAGCTTAGACTAGAGGAAGAATTACTACTTACACCAAGAGAACAGCTGACAAGAGTGAATTTACGAGTGGGATAGTTACTGAGGGAATTCTAGTACCCAACTAAGTAAACCCAGAAATAGCATGGAACTGAGTGTCTTATAGAATATATGAAAATCTTAGTGTTAGAATGCAAATGATGGAAAAGTGTTGCCCAGAACTATTTTTTTGTCTTGAGATTGGAGAGAAGTTTCTTCCCCGAGACTGTAGAATGGACTTCTTGTGCTTCCACATAAGCTCCTAATCCACAGATTGGCACGACAACATCCATGGTGTTGCTGAGAGCTCAAGCACAGGACAGTCGGCTACAATGTTCACACTATCACATGTTAGTAATGATGCATAAAGAAGTAGGTAACGGTATAACAAGATAGTAGTTGGTGAAATTTACATTAAGCTAGTTTTCTTCTGTATTTCTAGTTTGTATAGTGGAGATCTCTATGTAACATCTTTTAAAAGGCAGATGACGATGTTAT